GGACGCTGCAGGTGCGCGGCCGCATTTGCTCGTCGTTGGGAGAGGGGGGGGGATGGTGATGCCTTTTGAGAAGAATTTGCGGCTTTGGGAAAATTCGAAATTCCCTCCCCACCTCCCTACTCGACAGCTCGATCGTATCAGAGGAGGGACCAAGATCCCCAACTAATGATGTGCCCTGTGGAACTCGAGGGACGGGAGCACTTCACTAACCGTGGGAGCAAGATCATGCACTGAATGTGGCAGACCTCGTGATATTGAAGGCTCCGTGCTTGTACTATCTGTGCCTTCACATAGTTCTGAATTGCCTGTCGCAGTACCGCCCATGAGATTGTAGAAGTTTCGCTGAACATCTCAGAAGAGTCCTGAAATTGGAGTTTTCGAAGTCAGCTTACTACTGTCTTTGCTTTGCTATCTATTTGGAGTGCTCTACTTCGGTGGGGAGGAACTTTCAAAGTGTGAATCATCATAGTTGAGAGCACATGCCGTGATTCCAGGTTAGACAGAGGATCAAGCTTGCTTCTACGAGGAGCTGATCCCGCAGACGCACATTGCGTACCCTTTGGACCTGGGGTATATGTGTCCGCGGAGCCTTCGTCCTCCTCCCTTCTCTTTCTCTCCCCTTCTTTCTGATTAGAAAATTCCTCTGGACCCTTGCAGCGGGAGAACAAACGGTTGACAGAAGCCGTGTAACAACACCTTTGCCAATCGAAGGCGCTTGGGATGAACGCCAGAGACCTGTGATTCCTAGGTATGACCGTTCCTTTTTTATAATGGCTCCAGCCACAATATACAGCTCCAGTGCCTGTACGGCGGCGCGCTTTGTCGCCGCGGTCGCGCACTAACGTAAAGTGAAGGGTATTCACTTCCATTGGCGAAACCCAAGTGGGCCCAGTTTCGGCATTAAGGGTCTCAGCCTTGTTACTTTACTGGCACATTAATTGTCACGTACTAATTCATATCTGAACTCTACCGCCCACAATTTAAACTTGCGGCATGTGCCTTTGCTGGTAATTCTGGGTGAGGCTCTGTTTTTAGGGGGAGAAACAAATGCTGGTTTACGTGACACGACTCAAAGGTAGACTGTACAGTTTTTCAATGTGTGAGGGGAATGGATCCGCAGCTGCAGTAGCCTGCCACATTCTTCCCTTAAAATTATGCGGGAACGTACTGCAGAGTGATAACTCCACCTGCGCTATCCTCAAGGTGCGTATACTTGCGAGGTCCCGAAAGACGTACGCAGCGGCATAGACAGCCAGAGGTGAAGGGCGCAAACACGTTGCACGAAATGGCTGTGGTCAGGTATGTCGTTGGCCGTGAGGCAGAGCAGGGCGGAGTAAGGAGGCGGCACCGAGGTATCATACCTACACCACCTCCAGCCTCCTTCCCGTGCGCTTTTGAGCAAGAATTTTTCCCGCTGCTGTAGCTTCTCTTTACCTACGCAGAATCTACGGAGGTAAGGGTACGCAGTCGTCTGCTGTGCACTAGCGCTATATAATATCGGTTTCAGCTGGGAACCGCCTAATATGCAATAAGGGGACTGAAGAGATCAGCAAAAAGCACGCATATAATGACAAACCAGTGAAATACTTGGGAACCGGAAGCCACCACTCTGGAGAGCGTACCGATAAATTTCCAACACTCAGATTGAGGAGGAGGCGTTGTTCATTATTAATCCCACATGATCCTGTGTCCCCGGCATGAATTCGGAACGATCCCGCTTTCTTAAAGGTCGCAGAGAAAGAAAGAGAAATTCCGAAATTCTCACTCTCCTAGGCCGCTACAGTAGTATGTGGCCAACTTCTTAGTTCTCGAAGGACTTACGTTTTGCTCTGTAGCAAGCATTCGACTCCAAAATATTGAATGCAACAGTGGTTCTGTTTGGTCGTTGGTGATTGCGATCAGAAATGGATGAGACAAAACTACCTAAATATCCAGAACTATTTAATAGTTTACGGTTTATGGTGCTCACAAGTTCAATATTTCTCCCAATTTGACACGATTTTGCTATGATTGCCATTGCGATTTTCCCCACATCTCGCGATCGGGTAGTTATCACATGATTGTTAACTGGACTCAAGCGATAAAGCTGGGTCCTCATTCAAATCCTATCCGGGGTCAGGTCTTTTGCCCACTATCCAGCGGTCTTACATAAGCTCTTTTAATTTC